CTACCCCTACCCTTACCATGATCTTACACTCTACCCATACCCCCTACAACCCTTCATACGCACCCATACCTACTCGTAGGGAGGGAAGGTATGAGTGGGGTGCGGTGGGGTAAGGGGATGTTTAGGGGTGGGGTGGTAAGGTCTAGGGGTAGGGGGTAGGGTGGGGGTAGTGGGTGGGTTAGGGTCGTGGTTAGGGGTAAGGGTGGGGTTGGTGGGTAGGGTTGAGGTTGAGGTAAGGTAAGGGTAGGGAGTTGGGGGTAGGATGGCGGTAGGGTGGGGCCGGGATCAGGGTGGGGCCGAGGTAAGGGAAGGGTAGGGTGGGGCCGAGGTAGGGAGCATGTGGTAAGGGGTAAGGTAGGGGTAAGGGGTAATATACGAGGGGTGGAGTGGGGTAGGGTGGGTCGGGCTGGGGTCGAGGTGGTAGGGGGGTGGCGATTAGGGTAGGGTGGGTCGAGGTGGGGCTGAGGTAGGGGCATGTAGTAGGGGGTGGGGTAGGATCATTGTAGGGAAAAGGGGTACGCGGGGTGGGGTTGGGTGGGTAGGGTAGTGGTAAGGGGTAAGGTACGAGGATGGAGGTACTGGAATGGAATCGACATCAGAGCGGGACCGGACTCACCACTAGGTGTAAGTATGCAAATTTATTGCAGCGGCACTGTAGCATCTTCGTTTTCCAAATTTGGAAAACTAATAAAAGTCACTTTTCCAAATCATTAAGGAAAAGAGAGACATGTTTCATTTTTTTCGTTTTGGAAAACGATTTGGTAAACACGTTTTTCTGTTTTCCTTTCTCCAGTTTTCCAGCAATTTTCTTTGGTAAACACGTTTCCTGTTTTCTGTTTTCAATGGAAAATATCTCTGTTAGTAAACAGGCCCAAAGTGTTTGAAAAAAGAGAACGAAAGCGAAGAAAACAGGGATATATGGGATGAGGGAGGTGACATGCGTGAAATAGGGGCAGAGAAGGAAGAACGTGGAGAAGCCAATGTGAAACGTTGCCTACCTTGACGTTTTCATTTTCAGCTTTTTGGACCCAATAATCTAATCCAACAATCCATTTACCAAACAATAATTTTGGCCGTTTATACAGTCAAAATCATTAATTGCAGTCAAAGAGGCCAAAGTTTAGCTGATAAGCCATTTTGCAAACAAGACCATTAATTAAATTTACATATGTTAATTAATGAAGGAAAAACTGATCTTTTGTGTATGACAGGCATGAAATGTAATTGCTGAGATTTTTGAAGCTTGATCTTTAAATAAGATTGTCCTACACTCGGCCTTCAAATCTTCAGCAATGTAATTGTGACTAGGTGTAGTATTGGACTATTGGAGTATATATGTAGCTAATTTAACGTTAAGAGTTCAAATAGCATTGAATGAAATTAAACTAATCTAATGCGGTGATGAGGTAATACACTGCCCATGTGTTATCTCTATTGTCTGAGGTGGTGTTTGGATCTGATTCTCAAAACTGATTCTGCTCTTTCAGGGAGCAGAAGTAGAAGCTGGAGTGTTTGGGTGAAATTCCAGAAGCACTTCTGGTGCTCTAATTTACTCCCAGAATCAGTTTTTTTGAAATCAATTTGCTCTGATTCTGATTCTGCTTCTGCTTTTAAAAAAGAAGCAGAAGCAGAATCAGTTCCAAACACCCCGTGAGTTATCTATTCAAACTAATTTCCGTGAGTGGAGCTAGATTTTCATACACCACTTGGATTTTATTTAAGTTGAAGAATATTGAGGTCAAAATTTAAAATTTATGAATTTTAATGGTTCGACTCAATTGCAATTTAAGTAGAAATCAATTTCAATTGAGGTAACTCTACATTATTACTTCTCCGTCCCATTTAAATTTTTACACTTTTCTTTTTGGGACGTCCCATTTACTCCTTTATGTTTCCTTTTTAGGCATCTCCTTTTACATTAAATGACCTAACTACCCTTCACTACCCACCCACTTTTTACATTTGATTGGATATCATTAATTCCATTTAAAAGTCAAAGGACATGCAAGACATCTGTTCTTCTATTAATTGAGATCCTAAAATACTAAAGTAGATAAACACTCATACCTCAACACTCATACCTCAACAACACCGAGATTTTTGCCCACCCTACTTGTAATCCAACTTTCACAACCAACGACTCCAGTTCGTTTTTGGCGGCTGAACCCCATTTCCTTCTTTCTTATTTTATGTAATAAGTTGAGAAAATTGAAGTACTAAATAGTACTGTCCTACGTAGGCATACCGCATACATGTTTGGTTCATTCTCGAAGATCTGAATCCTGGAACCGCTCCAAATGCTCTGAAACTTGAAATCTCTGTTTCCCTGCTCGTTGCTTGCTATCTCGCGTAACATAATGGTTTAAAAGATGAGTGCAACATGGACAAAATAAACTTATAAAATGTATTTAAAAAGAAAACTTATAAAATGTGATCTTTTGTGTTTTATTCCCAAAATACAATTTTCTTAGACCTAATAAAAAAGAAAAAGAGAGTTCACTTTTGAGAGTGATGAATCATACTACGTATTTTTGAAAGAAAACAAACGTTGTTTTCTTCGAGAAAATGTATTATGTTTGACTTGATTTAAGAAATAAAAAAATTGAGATATTTGAAAATATCTAGTCATTTTTATTTTTTCAACTTACATTTTGAGTGTTTATTTTTTATTTTTTCAACTTATAATCCTTCAACTATTGTGAAAAATACATATTTGATAGTTGATACTCATATTTGAAAATTTTCATCAATACTCCTTCGACTCAAATAGTGGCATATTTAATCCTTTCATTATGTCATTATCATATTAAGTGGTGAATTGAAAATGTCATTATGCTAATAGTTGTAGTATCGTAATTGTCTTTTTGTACTATTTGGAGGATTAAACATGTAAGAAAGTGTCAAATGAGTACATTAAGTTGTATGCATTGGAGTAGGGAGTACTTCATACTCCATATACTACATATTATATTGCAACTGAGATTACATTCACAAGTACATAAACTTGCGAAAATAGTGTTAATTAAGTGCAAATTCAATTTAACTCTAAAAATGTTGATATGGTAATTAGTAATAGTTTATGTGGTAAATGGTGGAATTTAAGTCCGCATCATCTTTATCCCCAATTATATCTAACCCCAATTAGTAATCGTTTATGCATGTGTTTATAAAAATGGAGTTGGTCAATGGGGCTTGGGGGTGAGTGTGGTGATATGGTGTTCAGTGGCTTAACTGAAGTGAGAGTTGGAAAGTGATTGTATGATTATAATGTATGGTAATGGATGATGTGGTTTTAATTTTGTCATATCACTAACCTCTTAATTAATTGATTAGTGAGACATATTAACGCTTAAATTCAAATGTGTACTAATTGTTTTAAAACACATAAACGATTACTAATTGGGTGATCAAGTGAGACATATTTACGTCTAAATTCAAGTGTACTGAATCAACACTATTTTTTCGAGTTTATGTACTTGTGAATCTCAATTACAATATGATGTACTCTTTACTCCGGTGCATACGACTTAATGTACTCATTTGACACTTTCTTCATTAAACATGCATAAGTTCAAAGTCTAGGTTTAAAAGTATCTTTGTCACAGACTCACAGTAGTCGAAGGCTGAATGTAAAAAAATTAAAATGGATTAATTCACCCATAAATCATAATCTCTATTTTATATGTTACAATAATGACATTAAATGTCATGTACCCATTATTTTTAGACTAGACTCCTATTTACATTTTAGTATATACGTACTTACGTAGTATTAGTTTCAACTTCACATGTATTGAAGAAAAAAGAATATAATTCATCAGATCAGGGACAAAAGCATTAATTCAATTTGAAAAAAAGAACACAAATCTAGTTACTCGTCTTCTGTCTTCAGTTATTCACAAATCAAGAGTATTGCCGATGGGTGTGTTTCGGAAAATAAAGAAAATTAATTAATTAAATAAAATTAATTTAAATGATAAAAAAATGAGATGGAGCAGAATTTAGCCAAAGCTCGTGCAACACACGATATCCTTAAAATGTATTCGTTGCCTCCCGGGGTGCTAGGAGCGTTGCAACGATCGTTTCCCAGGATACGATGACTACGAACTATTGTTTGAGCACACAAACAAAAGTTCCAGCGAACGGAAACCAAGCAAGAACACTAAGGAAATTTTCAGAAGTAGCTGGAGGTGTTTTTGAGCTCAAGAAAACGTGCAGTTCGTGTGTGATTGCATGTATTGTTGCAAAACACCTGCCAGCCATTATATAGGAGAATTTGTTGTGTGTTAATGGTGAATTAATGGACTTGAACGTTGAACATCAATGACCAGTCCGTTGGACATTGAATTGTCCATGAACTATCCATTTAACGCTGCATAATGACATAAAAACGTTGGACATACATTTATTGCTATAACAGTTCAGAACGCGACCAGAACGTATTCTGGTTCCGTAGCGGACAGAAGACCAGACGTCTCCTATTTCCGGACAGAAGACCAGAACGAGCAGAAGAGCCCAGACGTCTTCTGTTCTGGAGCAATCAGAACAACACACACTTAGGAAAAAATAAACGTTACAGGAAGAAACAAAAATTAAATCATATCTTTGAAAGATAGATTTTTGGACGACATTCGTGTCCGCAAATCGCCCGGGCAAGCAAGTCATGATTTTTCTTCCCCGATTTCAGGATTTGATTTGCAAATCCCCCTGCGCGCATGAGAGAATCTTTCACCTTAGGAATCTTAACTCCTTAAAGGAGGCTTCCCTTTATAAGGGGTTGCAAATCCTTTGGGTTTTCCAGTGTGGGAAATAACACACTAAGAACTCGTCCTTTTCCCCAGTTTTTCCATTCCAACGGGCAAACTTCGAGAATCAATTACTCATTCACTCGTTATCCGTTTTGAGTGTACCATATATCGAATTGTACCATTTAGCAAGGACAATCCGAAACCACTTTGACCCGACCCAAATCGGAAGTGGACCCCACCCAAAATATTGTCCCAAAATTACCATTTAATGCAATTTTAACACATTTTTCCAACATTGCCCACATACTTCATACTTTTTTTGTGTACCTAAAGTCTATACTTCTCCAACATCTTTAACATCGGTTCCAAATAAATATATTCTAGATTTTGATGTACATAATTATGCTGTTGATATACTATTTTTTGTACAAAAACTCTAATGGTTTTGAATCAGAATAGGCATTGTGGGTCTCATAGTCTCAGATAAAGACTTGTTTTGAATGAGCAGAACCACTTGAGACATCGTCGGCCGTATTTCAGGAGATGCTTGGGTGCAAAGTAAACCGATCTCTATGATTCTTTTCATTTCTTCTGCTTCATAATCACTAGGGTCCAAGCTCTCATCCGCCAATTCTACGTGTAAGTCTCTCTTGTATAGATTCCAAGCCTAACAAGTCCAATAAATTATTATCAACTCACAATAGAATTATAGGACCAAAACTCTGTTGGTTAAAAAAAAGAATTGATAAAGCTCTAGTTCGGAACTTCGGAATAGCTTTGGATGATCATTCTCTTTTCTTTTTTAAACTAGAAAAAGTTATTATCATTTTTAGTTGGGAACTTTGAAAAGTAACTTGACAAGTAGAAAGATGTTTATTTTTAGTTATTATTATACATTATCCCAGTATAACATTTAAGTTATAATCTTAAAACAAATTGCCGTTGGGATTTTCTTACTTTTAGGAGGAGGAATTCGCCTTCATATGCACCAGAAACCTTTAACTCATTGCTTCTTTGACCACTTATGATTTCTAGGACTATCACACCAAAGCTATACACATCAACCTTCTCTGACAATTGACCATGAATTGCATACTCTGGTGCTATGTATCCTCTGAAAAAAAAAACGCATAAATTGATTACAAAAAAAGCTGAAATTAGCACAAACTTGAATATCTGAAAGCATTCTTGCTTGTATAGATCATATAAAAGCCTTCAATAATCCATGAACTAATACGATATTGCCTACGGAGTTAAGGAAAGCCAAGAAATAAATGTAATTTCGACTTACAATGTTCCTGCACATTTTGTGCTGAGATGAGATCTGTCCTCAGGCAAAAGCCTTGCTAATCCAAAATCAGCAATTTTTGGTTGCAGATCATCATCTAAGAGGATGTTGTTAGTCTTTACATCTCTATGTATGATACGAACGTGAAACTCCTCGTGCAGATAAGCCAAACCTCTTGCTGTCCCTAAAATTATCTCGTGTCGTTGATTCCAATTAAGAGAACCTCTCCCTTTTCCTGTTTTCCAAATTACACACTTTCAGATATGGAAGAAGAAATACAAGTGTGAAGCAACAATGCAATTCACAAAATGTTTTAACATGGAATTGGCGTTTCTGTGTGTGTATTGTTTCTTTATATTATTTCATAAGAACTAACATTTTGCTAGAGTGGATTTGATAATATGTCAACACTTTCAATATATAAAATGTTATAACTAATGGTTAAAGAAACTTATTAAGATGTGAGCTTCTGTTCTAAAAAGTCAACATGGGAGAGTAGTCCATTGTTTACAGTGCACTGTTTTTCATTTTTCCACAAGGGCCCCTAGTTTATGGCTACGAATCTTAGAAGTTGGATTCCATCTTAAAAGGTTAATTGAAGATGAAGTAGCCTAATGTTTTATATGTAGTTCAGTTATTTCGTATTTAGCAATGTGAGACAACTTTTTCAAGAGAGCTATGTTAATCATGTCATTTCATGTAAGATACCAAACAAGAATCTGTCAAGGCTGGTCTTTCTCATGTATTCATAGACAAGAATTCTTTGTTTCCCTGTGCTGCAACATCCAAGAAGCCGAACAAGATTTCGGTGATGAACGTTACTAATTAGCTTCACTTCACTCTCAAATAATTCATCCACCTTCTTGGATTGTCGTATAGTTAATTTCTTGATGGCCACTTCTTTTCCATTCCTTAGAGTGCCCTATTCAGAATTACAATCATAAACGTGCTATCTGCCAGAAATCTTAGCTTTCAACACTATATCAAACATGATCTAAATCAAAACATATCATATCGATAATTACCTTATATACAGCACCAAATCCACCTTCTCCAATTTTATTTTCTTCATTGAAATTTCTTGTTGCAAGCTTCAAATCCCTATAATGATAATTTACTGGACCTTTCAAGTTGCTTATTCCAGTTATTTCTCCTGTTAAGGGAAACAATAGTTATAGAAGATATCCTCATAACTTTGAAGAATATATAAATAAATATACAAATCAGCTTCATAACTTAATTTAACAAATTATCATATAAATTGGTTTTTTATTCCACACAATGAAATGTTATACTGGATAGTATTTTTATAACCAATCTATTCCTGTCATCCTTTTAATATATCTTCCAAATAGTTTTGACTATGTTCATTCAGGGTTTTAAAAAAGGTCTTTATGGCACTAAGTGTCCCAAGTCCAACAAGTATAAAAATGATGGATGAACAGAACCTTAGATTGAAGTAAGCTAATATATTGAATTCACTCTTTTAGTGAGATTTGAACCAAATGTCACATGGCTCAGTTCAACACCCCAACGCAATCCTGAATTCGGTCAGTTTGTGAGGTTTCAATGAAGGGTCTCACATAAATTGATGCATAAGGGTATCTAGACATGTCAAGTGGTTTAACTACCTCCGAGAAACCTGCGATGACTTTTTGGTGTTCTAATCCAGAAAAATAATCCAAGGAGGACCAAAGCAAGTGCCAAAACTCCCACAACACCACCGATGATGGCTCCTTTATTGTTTGAACCTGCAAGGCAAGCACATTGTTGTGTGTAACCAAACCCATATCTATGTCAAGTATGAGGTTTGTAATACAAGCGTACCTTGTTTCAGGAAGGAGGTGATGACAGTGGTTTGATTGTCAACAAAGAAGGCAGTGGTAGAGTATCTCATGAAGCAGCCAGTGTCATAACTCCTGGCATTTGAGCTGGTAAGACAACTACGAAACAGTCCCAAGGCAGTGTCCAAGCAACTCTGGCAGCCACTTGTGGTGAGAGTCTCAACACATTGAGCCATGGCATAAATATTACTTGAGCCATTATTGCTATTAGGCAATGGGGTCTTAGTGGCTGCATACATCTTAGGATTGATCATTTTGGGGGTGGCTTTGTCAAGATTCGTAAGCGCTTGTTGCACGGTTGAAGAAACTAAGGCGGGGGAGCTTTGATTTCCACAGTCTATGTTGTTCCAGCTTTCGCTAGCCACCTCGTATTTTTCACTGCTTTCATACCTGTGCACATCAACCAATCTCCCATTGTCATATTTTTTTCGAATAATGCCTAATGTATAACCAAAATAAGGATAATGGACAAAAATGCGACTTAGTAACTTCTAGTGATTACAATTATGTTCAAATTTTACACCAAAGTGACTATAAGAGTGTCGTCCTAGTCACTTTAGTCACATTTTTGTCCACAAGTTTTATTTTAGTAATATTTTACGAATACCCTCTTTTTTCAATATTTGTGCGATTTCGAGTGTAAGGTTCTCACCATTCACACATCCGACTTGAATGTCTTTTAGTCTCTAACTTAATAAAATAAACTTTCATCATATTTGAATTGGGAAAACTGTCAAATAGGTCCTCGAACTTTCATAAAAAAATCAATTAAGTCCTTATTTAGGAGGCTCTTTCCGGCCTTCGCGGTTTGGGACGGTTACCGGTGAAATTTTTTGATAAAATTTTTTGAGCATCTTATTCATCAAGTCTAGTTTAATCATACCAAATTTGAGCTAAAACTTCAATCGGGAACGCATTCAAATCAATTCTTGAATATAACTGTGCAGTTAAATGAGCAGTTATCTTCAAGAATTAATTTTAATGCGTTCTCGATTGAAGTTTTAGCTCAAATTTGGTATGAGTAAATTACACTTGATGAATAACATGATAAAAAAAATTCATCAAAAAATTCCAACGGGAACTGCCCCAAATCGCGACAGCCGGACAGAGCCTCCTAAATAAGGACTTCATTGACTTTTTTATAAAAGTTCGATGACCTATTTGACAGTTTTCCCTATTTTAATTCAATTTTTGTGTTCTAGTACAACTTCAAATGTAGTTTCATCATACTTAGATTTCAGCAATGAATACTAACACATATAATACTCTGAATTAGATTTCAACCATCATAAATCACATATTCGTATAGAGAATCTTAAAATGACACGGAGGGGTATTTAACTTTTCCATGAGTTTCAATTCTAGTGTTTCCATGGTGTACAAATATATGTTGTGAGGTATATTATGTGCACCCTGGACAATTTTAGCCATGAAAGTATTGGCATTGGTGGTATGAGCTTATTTAGGGAACTTGATTTTACGACCATTTTTATTTGAAAGGAATAGTCGAAATATTACTTCTAGAGACCAGAGGTTATGATGACACACATGATTATGATTTTTTTCAAAAGAGTAACGAAATGATCTCAAAATCCTATGTATATTCAACTTTCGTCTTCCTTTAGGTCACAATAACCATATGACATGGTGAGGAATCGGTCCAGCCCAGCTGGTCGCCGACTCACTCTCTCTTATGGGAGGTCCCGGATTCAATTCACTGATCCCAGTTTACCCCAGGCAGTGGCGGATCTAGGCATCGGCGGTCAGTGTATGCACATATATAATATCCAGTAACAAATTATACGTAGTAGGAAATTATTATTCCAATAACAAAGGTTAAATAAAATACAAGTATATGTATATGTTTCTTCCGTCCTAAATTGAATTGTAATTTGTGATTTTTAAGATTGATTAATGATGTCTTCAAAAAAAGAATGATTGATGATAAAGTTGAATAATCTCTAAAAATAGGTAAATCAGTTTTAATAGTTAAAATTTACATTGAAAGTTGTATAAAGTCGAAAAGTTTAAATTAAAATATAATATAATTTTAATTTGTAAAAAAAGTAAATAATGCGAATTTGTGTTGAATGAGAAAAATTGATTTTGCAAAACATTTTGAGAGAGAGAAATTAATAAAACTACACCGATAATTACACGCTTAACACATTGAAATGTTAGATAATCCGTAATAGATTTACAGGTAGATGTTAAAGGAACAATACACGCTTAACACATTGAACTGTTAGATACTTGTAATTAATTTACAGAGAGATGTTAAAGTTAATCATAATAAAAAGTAATAATAATAATAATTCTTAAAAAAATATGATGAGCGAGTAAATTCTTTGCTTTTGAAAACTAGAAAGGCTGCTTATCTTTTGAAAGAACTAACAGGTACTTCAAAAAGTAAAATAGCGGGTGTAGCCTTAGGGGGTTTCGAACAAGTGACATGAAGCCTAAGACGGAGTTCAATTTAAACGGCACTACCAGATAGGCTAATAAGCTAATTTGAGGTGAAGCCTTGGCTTACTCTCAGTACTATATACGTCCGCCCCTGACCCCAGGCCCCCCCAAAAATAATAATGACACATCAAAATCACTGGCTGCTGCACATTACAATAGACGGTTCCATTGAACCAAAGTTGGAATTTTCACTTCTAGTCCAATGGGTGATTAGTGTCATTCTAAATTTCTAATCAGTTTTTTTTTTTTTTAAATTTCTAAATTTCTAATCAGTACGTTGTCATTTCGTACTCGGTATAAGAATGTCTACTGATTTTAGGTCAACGAGAGTCCTTAATTTCGACATGCGAATGCATTTGCTTTGCATATGGACTCAAAATTCTCCAACCTCGCATGAGTAGCTTAGTTGGAAACTTGAAAAAATAATCAAAGATTCAAACTTGCAATGTGGATGTTTATGAGTTTATTATTGGGTTGACTAAGTTGATGTTGGGCCAGAGAGGGCCTTCAGGTCTAGGATTCAAGCTTTTCGAAGAACAAAATTGTCCATTTTTTATTTCTTACTTGTGCGAGGTGTCACAAGGGTAAGTCTCAAATTCAAATTCTGTGATGAGATATTATTATGTAAAGGTACATAGGGTATCACTCGTTATTTACCAATGTATGATTAAAGTCCAATTACCTCCTTCAGGTGTGAGGGCCCTCAAAATGGGTGTCATCCTTTTTTCAAACAAAAAATTGCGGTGAGCTTTGACATTTTCCCTCAAAGATGGGTGTCATCCTTTTTTCAAACAAAAAATTGCGTCGGGCTTTGATATTTTTAAGAGAAAAGGTGAAAATAAGCTCTCGGAATTCTGAATCGGAAAACTTGCAAATACACTCTCAACCCATTGAAAATTAATCAATCAGATCTTTTTTAGCTGCTAGTGCAGCCACCGTGCAGGTAATTAAGCAGATAACTTTTTGACGAGAAATTACCGACATCAACCGTGAAAAAGATCTGATTGTTTAATTTTTAGGTAAGGAGATAGCTTTCTCAAGAGAAACTACCGACATCAACTGTAAAAAGGATCTAATTATTCCATTTTTGATACAGTATATTTGTAAGTCTTCGGATTCAGGAATTTAATTGCAGAATCGCTAATAACTCGAGCACTTATTTGCCCATTTTCTCTGTTTTTAATATAGGCATCAAACTAATGATCAAAAGTTAAAGATACAGAGTAATGTGAAACCTGAGAAAGCAGCCGTCGTAGACGACACGAGCACCGTAAGCCCTGGTGGAGCAGCTGCGGATTTTGACGGCGGCGACGTCGAAGCAGGCGAGACAGTCCGGGATGGAGAGGTATTCCCTGCACTGGAAAAGGCCATAGACGGGGGTGTTTCCCTTCACTCCCTGCGCCTTGGCGAAGTGCAAGCTCTGGTTTCCGATCTGCCCTCTCAGGTCCGCTACCGTTCCGTTCAGGACCTCCCTCAGCACCGACCCGTCATTGTCTCCGTCCTGGTCGCACCATAGCTGCACCCAGTTGGTCTGTGGGTCTGAGGCGGCGGCGCCCAGGGCCCACCGTGACCATAATAATACTGCAATAAAGTTTAACAAGTGGAGAAAGGGAAAGGGGTTCTGTTGCAGGTTTAACTTCATAGCTAGTGTTTTTCCTGCACGGGATAGAAAGGAAGGTGATGAAGACGTTTGAATAATGGTGGATGAACTGGGTCAGGAAGTACTAGCGCGCCAATTTTGACTTAATAGTATTGTTGGGGTCGGATTAGTATAAACTACGGCAGTATATTAAAAAATAATAATAATAATTTTGACTCCCTAATAATAACGAAAAGGGAGAATTTGACTTTGCACCCCATATTTTGGGTGATATTTTACTTTGCACCTCGTTTTTAAAATCATTGATGTATGCACCCCATTAGTCTTAAAATAGTGAGGGATTGAGGTGCAAAGTCAAATGATTTTATAGTGAATTGGGGTGCATATATTAATTATTTTGAGAATAGGGTGCAAAGTCAAATATGACCCAAAATATGGAGTGCAAGATCAAATTCTCTCTAACAAAAATGATCTTTGTACCCACTTTTGTACCCACTTATGTTTGGGAAACTTTTTTTTTGTGTGTGAGCCCCGGTTCACTGTAAAGAAAAATATTCACAAACATGGTGGGTATAAGAGTGGGTACATCAAGCATTGTTGTAATAATAATAATAATACGGAGTAACAGTATACTTCGTACAAACAATGACACAAATATTACCTACAAGATTTCAAAAGACAAAAATATGACATTTTGAAATTTGACAAAAAAAACTGACCTAACCCTTCTTCTAACATTTCTCGCATCTCTCCTCTCACTCGCTCACCTCCTCGCATCAGTCCACCATCTTCATCAGCGGCGACAGGGACAATGAAACCACGACGGTTGAAAGGCGGAACTACAGAGAAGATGGTGGAATACAGTGATGGCGACGACCCCTATCTCGCACCTGAATATAATCTAATTTCCGCTGTATCTGGGTTTCGGTTATTCTATTGTTCTTGTATTGTTCATCTCTTCTATTGCCTCCAGTTTGAAATCAATTGACCGTTGTCGGTTCCAGATCTGCCAACCTCGATGGACGACGGCTCAGATTTTGCGTAAAGGGGCCTGAACAGTCAGACCGCCTCTTCTTCTGCTACTTTCGCCGTTGTTTGACCGTCGCTGCTTGGTCATCGCTACCTGAGTTTAGATCTTGGTGAGAGCAGCTAGGGTTCGAGCTATGGGGCGAATGCGGTGGGTGGCAAGGGATTGAGCTGGGCCGAATGCGTATCCCATGTTTGGGGCTATGGAGGTGGTCGGGCTTAGAAGAGTCTAGGGGCTAGCCGATGGGGCTAGGGGCTGTGGAAAGGGGGCTGGGTGAGGCAAGGGGGTGGGGTGAGACAGGGGAGGGGGCTAGGTGAGGCATAGGCTTGGCTATGGTGGTTGCTAGCGGTGGTTGCAGGCGTTGGTCGGAGGTGGTGGCCACCGGAAGCAGTGGCCGGAAGAGGTAATTGGGCGGTGCCGGCGGCAGTGTCACTGTATGTGGCCTGCAGTGTTGTCACTGTGGTGGTGTCACTTTGGCGGTGTCACTGTGGGCGGCAAGGTGACCAGCGGCGGCAGTGACACAAACGATGGCGGCGGAAGTGACAAGGCGATGTCGACATCAGTGACATGAGCGATAGCGACAGTGACATGAATATTACAAAAAAATATGTGATAGATAAAAAAGACATTTTTCCTTATTTTCCAAAAATATGACTAATAATCACATACTTTTCTAAATTACCTTTCCTAAACTTTGTACTAAATTTTTGCCAAAAAAAAATCCGTACTAAATTTAACATACTTAAAGAAGGGAAGTGAGGCACAAGTTTTTTTGCCTATGGTTTTCGGTGGCCATACATCCGCGATCTAGGAGCAGTTTTTTTTGTTGTGAAGCAAATTGTTTTCTGAATTTTGGGTAACAGTGTGCAACATAGAAGCTACGGAGAAGTCCAAATCATCAATAGGTTCAATCCGAGAACGAGATGAACAATAATTTGGTCGAGTTTGATGATTTCCAACAGGCTTGTGATCGTCTAGTCTACAAGGCAAAAGGGTATGTGTTGATGGCCCGCCCTCCTTCTGAACCACCACCGTCGAGTGAATGAGTGGCTAGAGTTTGGATGATTGCAATTTCATGCTCTATTTTTAATTTTAGTTTAAGCGTTATTTTTCTGTCATTATACATTTACCTTGTTTTTGCATTGTTTGTGTTAGTGAAAGTCTTGGGATGTATAAGGCCGTTATTTACCTTGAAGCTCCCATATGTTCAGCGAAAAGTTTCGCTCAGATTTGGGTGAACTTTTCTATGTCTGATCATAGACTGAGATGACTTTTCGCCTATTGTGAGTCTAGTGAAGTGGGAAAGAGTACGGTGACCTTAAGGATCTATAAGAATTCTATATTGCTCATTTGGTGGTTAGTGATTCGCGTTGCTCCTTTGGAGGTGACCGTCTCAGTGTCTGATTGTAGGGCTTTTAATGAGTTCAGATGGAGTTTTTTGGAAGATAGATACTATTAAGTTCTAGAACGTTTTGTTTGATTTAATATAGTTTTACGTGTACAATACTCCATCATTAACTTTACTCCGTACGTAACAATGCATTCTCTACGAATTAATGTTTCTTTTGATTTTGATAGATACAGAATACTACTCCTTCCGTCCCGCTATGATTGTCCCACTTTACCTTTTCGATCCGTCCTACTAAGATTGTCTCATTCCTTATTTGGTAAAATTTGTGTGGTTCTAAATCATTCTTACTTTATTCTTACTTTATCAATTCAATATCAACCACATAAACTCACTTTTATTAATAACTGTACCACATTCTCTTGTCTCAAACATAGGGGGACAGAGGTAGTACTTTTTTTAATATGGAGACATATGTATCCAAATATAAGAGTCTTAAATGTTTAAATTATTACACTAAAGTTATGTGAAAACGGTCTCAATTACTATCAATTCAATGACCATCACCTCAGTTACTACCGCTCTAATGGCCACCGTCTCAATCACTACAGCTCCACTGACCATCGTCGTAGTTATCACAATAGCCGATTTGTGAATTATTTTTCCCCGATGACCTACCGCTCCGGTGACCACCCATGTTCCAGTCACTACCGCTCTGGTGATCACTGACCCAATTACTACCATTTCAGTGATCATCCATCTTCCTAGTTATTGTCGCTTCAGTGATCACTCAATCACTACAACTAACAGTGACCACCACATTAGTGATCTGATATGACATAATAACTAGTGCCACAGTGATCAGCTCATAGTGACTTCGAATGTCTTAGTGACTCGTCACAATAGTGACCAAGTTAGAGTGAGCCCGAACATCTATTGACTAGCCTTAGTGACCAAGTTATAGTTATTATACTACACCGGTACTCCCACTTTATAGTGACTGCAGCAACAGTGACTCCACGGCCTTCGCCCGGATAACAGCTATTGCAACGATCCCCAACAATCATGTTACCCCCCCCCCAATCCAGGCCTTGCCTGGGCCACTCTCCCAAACCTTGCACCCTCCCTCCCCTGGTCCAACAACCATGCTCCCCTCAACCCTTTTCCGCAGTCACTGCCCCAATCCCTTCTCTCGTTAATTACTATGACTACTCCACCCCCACCCTTCTATACCCCTCCCTTGCTTCCCACCCCTGTTCGTACACCATCGGACCTCACCATTTCCCCTACTGCTTACCTCAACCCTACTTGTTGTCATTAACGATATGAAATTAGTGCAGAGATCTAACACCGTCATTGACCTTCAATAGACGTCGTTATCCATTGTTTCTGCTTACCGCTCATCAACCGTATTCGTCGTTACAGCTTCACCGACTTTGAATAGAGGTGACTATTTCTTTTGGAGGGAGATGGAGATTATGTTTCTAATCATTAAGGATGAGAATGGGCTGAGTGGCGAGTAGGTCGAAGGACTAAAGAGATATGAAAGAGGGGAAAGTTGAGAGATATAGTAAATGGCGCAGGAAGAAAAACCAAAAGAGGATAATGGTTGAGAAACGTTGTTGGGTTTTTGAAGTTGAGAAAGTTATATGGGTAAATTGAGTTTGAAACGTGTCTCTTTTTTGGAAGAGTGAAAATCAATCATATTTTAGTCATTAGGTCTTCCGTAGGTAATATACATGTCATGATTCCTCTTTTCAATATTGATTTTCCCGACAATCTATCATGTCAATAAATTTTATTCAACATACTTTTTAAATTTCATATTGGTGAAACATTAATTAAATTATTATAAGCAAAGTTTTCTTTAATTTTTTCCTCGATAAATAGATAGTACGGAGTATAAAATACATAAATGCACATCCCGATGTTAAAAAAATAAAATTTTGTCACATTATTTTACATAAATGCACATTCCTTTGCAAGTAAAGTATGGTTATTTGTGTAGGTGTGATGAATTAAAAACTCGTTTTTTGTGTTGTTAGGCTTAAAAACTCCAGCAGTTTGAATTTCAGATTTTTTAAACATTTATATGCAATCGATGTCATTCAAAGATGGTAAAATCTTATGAATTTTGATATGCAGATTTTTAGTTTGCAAAAAAAAAGTAATGCAAGTTAAAATGTTATACTACCTCCGTTCCTTTTCCATTGAGATGGAAGATAGTGGCACGATTATTAAGAAAAGTAGGTTTATATGGTTGATATTAATTGATAAAGTAAGAATGATTTAGAACCACACAAACTTTATCAAATATGGTATGAGACAATTTTAGTGGGATTTCTCAAAAAGGTAAAACGGGACAATATAAGGGGGCGGAGGGAGTAACACTTTTAAAAAGAGAGATTCTTTCTATGGCCCTAGTTGACACATAGCTTCTTGAAGTCTTTTCATTTTTACTTTCATTCGTTTTGCCAGCTCACTTGGAACTCAACTCATTCTCCTTCCAAAACTGGCTTCACCCCTCCCACTTCCATTCCCCCACTAGATATCCCTAATGTATTGAATTGACAATCCAAATATTCATTTAAAATACTTCAAACTTCTGGTGATAAATTCCTTTTAGTTGTATGATTGAGGTTTATCCCTTTCATCGCCTTATTCCTCATCCTAAAAATAATACAAAATACTTTGTGCCACTAATTATTTAAAGAATATGTTTAATAAATAAATAAATAAATAAATAG